GATCATCCATCTTCTGCCAAAGAAAACACAAATGAAAGCAAAACCTGTCAAGCTGCTAGTGTCATCTGAAAAGCCACTGGTGAAGCATTTCAGTAAGAGTTCATTATTATATACAGATTATAAATTTCTTCCGTTTTTTTCCTTTTACAGATTATCCATAGGCCACATTAGTTGATATTTCTTTATATCCAATTATGAGAACAAAGCACTTACTTAAGAAATTTTACTGATATCTTGACCCCCTTAAACAACTTGCCTTTTAATCCCAGACCCACCGTTATCTCCCTTCTGACTAAGCAAGAATTGATTAATCTGGTCTTTTAGTTGGACACTGAAAGCTGAGGTAGGTGGGCTATCATGATCAAGTACTTAAAAAGATTTTATTTCATTCCCAACGTTGTTCCAACACACTGATAAAGAATTGAAATCCTGTTTCATAAATGAGGTAGCCTTTTATATTATTTTATATCTGTCAAAAAAAAATAGTACCATGGGGGGATTTCCTTGAATGTATAGAGGTCAAGATGATTAGTGTTTACTATTTAAAAATGGATAATTTACAAAGGACAAGCTAAGTAAACTACTGTGTCCCAAGTTTCAAGGTTTCTTTGAGTGATTCAAAGCTGTGGCAATGAATTGTTTCATGGGTCTTTCTTGTCTCAGGAGTCACCTAATAAAAGTCCACATTTCTGGTAGTTCAGCAATTATGGTTCTAATTTGTATGTGGAGTTCACATTTGGCCATGGCTATGACATTACAGTGACCCCAGGAGCTGTCCACTGTTGCTCTCCACCTCGTTATTCTTTGCCCCTGCACCCATTCTCAGACTCAGCTCTGGACGGTCTGTTTAGTCCCCTTACATCAAACATCAACAGAAATCAGTGAGTACTATGAGCAGGATTAACAGTTGTCGGGAAAGGACAAGGCTTCCTTCTCAGTGTTCTTCTTCCACATTGCCACGTCACCATTATGAATGACAGTGTTCTTTTGTTTTAATAACAAGGCAAAAGGTTTGTGTTTTTAAGAGTTAGTTAAACTGTTATGGATGGTGCATTTTTCTGTTAGCTAAGACACCACTTGTCTTTCAGATTAAAAGGGCACACAGATGTAATAAGAAAGCAATAAAGTTTTACTTCCTTCTCCATTTCATGCATTGGAAAAAGCAACAACTGTTAACCTAATACAAAAATTGCTCCTTAATGTTCATGCCAGCAAAAATGAAGTTTTCAATGTTAGAAATTTCCTAAGGAGTTTTAAATAAATTGTTTAATATTTAAAAATTAGAGCTAATTAGCTTATACTTTCCACTTATATTTCTAGACTGTGGGAATTTAACACCATTCCCCATAAAGTGTCACCAGGCTCATTAGGAACTGCCTCCTGGAGGCCCCCTCCTTTCCAAGTATCCTCCAGGATGTGCCCTCAGGTGGAAGATTTGCAAAACTTTAATGGAATATGAAAAAGTAAAAAATTATGCTCTCTGACAATATTTATTCTAAGAACTTGACAATCTTTTCTCTCAAAGCATTTACCTTAAATATTTAATAAAGTTTTATATGTTAGCACAAAAGATGCCAATTATATGAAACTGATTACGTTCCCCCTAAATTTTAATCACATAATTAAAAAAAATTTCAGTGTAGACCATTAGAACTCTAAGTTGAAAGCTGAGAGCAAGCCGTTCTCCAGGTTACATGAAATTGGATGGGGTTCCATTCTCTGAAACCATAGGGAGCAGTAAGTTGTGCAGCTAAGCAACCACAGGAACTAGGTAAGGACGGTAATGGACTCTTCAGCAGATTTTGAAGGATGGGGGAAGTAAAGGGAAAAAGAATGCTAAGGATAAAGACAGATGAAAAGAGTAAGAAAAAAGAGGCCTATGAGAGGGTGTGAAAGTGCACCACCAGGAACTCCTCAGAGCCACCCATGCTAGAGGTTGCCTACCCCTAATCTCACACCACTTTTTTTTTTAGGAAGATTAGCCTTGAGCTAACTGCTGCCAATCCTCCTCTTTTTGCTGAAGAAGACTGGCCCTGAGCTGACATCCATGCCTGCACCCAGGATCTGAACCAGCAAAACCCGGGCTGCCAAAGCGGAATGTGCGCTATTAACCACTGCGCCACCGGGCCGGTCCCCATACCACATTTTCTATTCAAGTTTTCTATTGATTTAACCTCAAAAGTCATCTGGACATGGGACAGTTTACAAATAACAATGGTACAAATTAAAATATTCCTAAATGCAATTAAAAGGATTAGAATTATCAGAAGTAAACATATGTTTAGTTTACAACTAAGTGTACATTTACTTTAGAAGTGTGGGACGTTGAAGCTAACAGTGTTAAAGGTTTCTCCATACTTGGGCAGAGCCTGTGGGATCATAGGCAAACAAGTATAAACAGATAATATATGGATCATGAAATGCAAATGAAGTCTTGTTTCTATTTATGAATAGAATGTGAAGCTTAATGCAAGTACTATGCAACTTTCAGTGGAAGTTAGAAGTCTTGGACTAGGTCTGCAGACTAAGCATTGCAACTGTGATCAAAGAGACATAACCTTTGAATAAAGTATCAATAATCTGGGTGGTTTATTATTACTGAAGTGGATTGATCCCAACAATATCCGCTGCAATTAAATTTAACCAAAATGTTTCTGGAGGATCCCTGGGCATCTGCTACAATAGCACGTGATCCAGAGTTTCTGTGAAAAGGAGGAATTGCCCCCCTTCTTATGTTACTGTTGGCCTCAACAGCCAGACCCTTTTGAATTGGAGAATTTGCTGAGTCCTATCAGAAACAGAATGGAGAGAGAGAAAGCAGAGCTCTGACTCTATTCTTTTCCTCTTAAAAAAGCGTCTGGATTGCACAAAAAAATTTAGGCTCATCAGGTCACTTTATTGCAACAGTAACAGTCCAGAAATCAGAAAGGATTTATTTTGAAAGAGTAAAGTAGCATTTCTTGATGTAAAACACAAATCTTTGTGAATATTAGTATTTTTCACGTTCTTAGTTTATAGAACTTTGAGAACTTTAGACTTTTAAAACTTTTATAACTTTTTGTACCAAACAATATATTATTAAATATGCATTTTATGGAATTTAGCACCTTATCTTTTATAGTTTTTCTTTTTCTTTATTATTACAGCACACTACTCTTCACAAGAGTCTATTATAGTGTAGCTTTTCAGTGTTATAGATCCTGTTTGATTCATTCCATTAGACTGAAAACTATACATGTGTAATATACACAAACAATATTCTGAGATCTAAGTTTTATTATAAATACTTAAGTCACTTTGCTCTCTTATTGTAGAAATTAACCAAGCAAGATCAAGTCTTTGAGTTTCAGATTATTACCTATTTTTTTCCTAAAATCAGTCAAATTTTGAAAAGAAAAACATTTAGAGGTCTTTACAGAGTACATTTTCTATTTTAGAATTATTCTTTCTGTAAAATTGGGGGAAAGTCTGAGAAGTCTGCTAAAACTGTAAAAAAAAAATAAACATTTTATAATGGCAGGTTTGATGACTGATCTTAGTTACATGTTTTTGCTGATCTCAAAAGCACAGCTAATAATGAGGAAATAATGTTTTACATAAGTGGGCATGAATAAATGAAGACCCTGATAATGTACTACTTTATCATTTTTAAGTCATTTTCTAAAAGCTTAAAATAAGAACATGAAAGGGCTGTATGGTCAGAATGTAGTGTGTGTGGTTTTTTTCTTTTAACGCAACAGAACCTTCCAAACTATAAATAACCTAAGTCCCCTGAATGGGCAATATTTCAAATCCTATTAAAGATAAATTGCACATTTAGCATTACACGTTGAACGTTCAAGGTTGCGATGAGAGAGCTGATATTGAAAGGCAGAGTTAGTAGATTTTCTAGCTGCTTAATTAACGGCCTCACTTGCCTCCAGCACCCTGCATGCCCCCCCACCTGAACAACCACAAATCCACGTGCTGCCCAGGCATCTCCATCTTCAGCCAGAGACGAGGAAGGGAGGGGCTCTGCCTGTCAGAAATGAGAGAAGGTGAATGGAAAAGCAGGGACATAATTAAGTTTCTCTCTTTCCTCAGAATTTGGAAGCAGATGGATCCCGGAGGTGCTTTAGAAGAAGAGAGCATTCTTCTTCCCAGGGGAACAAGCTGCATTTGAGGAAGATCTAATATACATGTGTATTTAGGATTTAAATACATTTTGCATATTAACTTTTAAAGAAAAAATGTACTGAAGAGGAAACAAAATGTACTAAATAAGAAAAAAAATGCACTAAAGTATAGTTTCAGGGATGAGGTCACTGTTCCTATTTTTCATAGATGAGCCGGAATCATGGCATGACTTTGGTTTTAATTTTAGGTCCTTAAAACTCCAATGACTTTCTTACAATTGTCTGTGTATAAACAGAAAAACTACTGGGAATGTTAATGGGCAGGACACTAGGGTAAATACATATGAATGCAAATTTTTGCCAGAAAGTTTTGGAAATATAAGAGTTGTTTCTCTTTTTTTTTTTTTTTTGAGGAAGATTAGCCCTGAGCTAACTACTGCCAATCCTCCTCTTTTTGCTGAGGAAGACTGGCCCTGAGCTAACATCCATGCCCATCTTCCTCTACTTTATACGTGGGATGCCTGCCACAGCATGGCTTGCCAAGCGGTGCCATGTCTGCACCCGGAATCTGAACCGGTGAACCCCGGGCCGCCGAAGCGGAATGTGCGCACTTAACCACTGCACCACCGGGCCGGCCCGAGAGTTGTTTCTCTTTATGAGTGCTTTTAACCTTTCAAGACCCATTAATTTCATAAACCAATTTGAGCAATTGTTGTTTCTATCACAAATAGATATTTTCTTCATGAATACAAAGACTTTCCCCCCGCCATTTGTGCCTGAAACTACAACTTAACAACATGCTCAGTAAGACTTTGTTTAAATCTCAGGTCCTAGTCCTAACAAATTCAGAAGCCAGAAAAATTCTACGTTAAAACTGCCAGAATATCTTTCGTTCATTCTATTTTACTTTATTGTTACAATTTAAACAAATTCAGAAATTTGGGGAGTTTCTGGCTACTTGAGTAAGACACACTGCAAACCCACAGGGAACAAACGTAAATGAAAGAAATGCCTGATTCCTGAACTGCTCTGCTCCCAGGAACAGGATCCTTTTCATCCCAAACACTGGTTTCGAATACAGTGTTATCATCTGCTCCAAGGTGGTCCCCTGACACTGGAGCAAGTCAGAATAACTTAATTTCATGGCTTATTTAACAGCAGACAAGCAACTTTAACACAGACTTGAGGTTTAGGTAAATCTGACATTGTCTAGAATCCAAGCTTAAATTTTGTAAAAAGTTTCCAAATAGCAGAAGAAATTAAAACAGAGATACCAGAACTCAAAACGCCATGTAAGACAACAAAAAATATTTCCAGTCCTAACCAAACTGCAACCCTTTCAGTATAGCTTGAGGTATTTTTAAATATTTGTACAAGCTAAATAGCATTCACAGTTTCCAGAGTTGCTTTTTACTGAAATAGCTTCAAATTCTCACAATATTTGACTTTCAGACATGTTTCCATGTACCCAAGTCTCTGCCCTCAGACTCATGGAAATACCGAACGGCTATTTGGTGGCAGAAAATGGTTCTTGGAGTAATCAGGGCTCTATTTTCCAATTGCTGTGCTATTCTCAGGATATGATTAAAAAATAAGAAATTTGCAATTCATATAAAAGGGAAAACTGTTTAAAATTCTGAAAGCAAATCCAGTCTGGTGGAGGTATATAAGACATTAAATAACAGAGTCAGAGTCTTTCTTAAAGATTCCAGATGAGTTTGACAGCAGAGAGTTCTGGTTCTCCAGCATTGTCTCCATTTTTTCTCCTCCAGTGGTTTTACTGATCTCTCTTTGCTTCTTACTGTGGATCCACGGGATAAAACAAAGGACAGCACTTCCAATAAGGGGGGGGATTCCAGCGAGGTAGAATGCCACGTCATAGGAGCCCAGCTCATCACGAAGTAACCCTGGGGAGGGAGAAAACTGTCACCAAGAGAAAACAAGTGTGGCTCTTAAGGGTCTCAGATCAGTCACACTGATGTTCTATTCCCTACCTGATAACTTCATCTCAGCAGCACTAGTTCAAACAACATCTCAGATATCAGACATTTTTTAGGAAAGGGGTCTGAAATAAAGCCTTTTCTGGTATGAGGAAGGAAAAGATCTCATATCTTTAATCTTGTCACAGACTACAGGCCTCTGAGTTTCCATATCAAGATATTACATAGAAAAAAATCTTTGCAACCAAGCTTTGGCTTTCTCAAAACCCTTCAGAGGCCATTCAGGGTATTCTGACACGTAGTGTAAAGGTCCTTATTTCAGCTAAAAGTGGACGGACCACCAGCTGAAACTTCTCTCATACACACATATACCTCAAAATGCCTACATTTCAAACCTTTTTTGGGCCTGTTTATGAAATAAGATGAAACTATTTAAAATTATAACCCAAAATCATGAAAAATTATAAATCTGAGAGTTAGGATGAAAAGTTAGGTTGTTAAATACATTTTGGAGAGACAGTAAGGCATGTCAGCACTTGGAGGAAGAGAGAAGAATATAATGTGTGGCTCTCTAATAGGCCCTTGGGCTCTGCTTCTGAAAACTGTTATTTAGAGAACTTCTTACTTCTAATTTCTCTACCAAAATCCAGATTTTAAAAGTTATCTTAGTGTTTTTAAACTTCTGTAACTTTTACTATACAATATTTCAGTTACTATATATACTTCAGTTATCTGAAACGTCCAGGGAACATAGTGTACTGAATATCTGACTCTGCTGCATAAACAGCTGAGGACTCGTCCAGTGAAGTACCAACACATAAAAAAAAGTGTACATTCATTTTGGATAAAAACTAAAATATGCAATATATCTAAATATAGGATTTTCCTCTCTCCTGAATCAGAATGTTCCCTATATAAGCGAACCTTTCATCCTTGTGAACACTACCATGTCTGGCTGTAACGCCGTGATCCCTCGCAGCCTCCTGGTGAGCAGGGGCTTTCTGGCGCCAGTTGCAGTGTGTTCCTCTATCTGCCCTGGAAGTTTCCTGTTACCTCCTTTATTCTTTGTCTGTTATCAGTTACTTCTAGTAGCAAACACCATTCCTACTAAAGTGCTGTGGGCTTGGAAACCCTAAGAAACTGAGCTTGTAAGGTATAAAAGTAATGTGAATAGTGTATTACCTGCGGCAGAAGGGAAGGACTGAGGGTTCTCCTACAGGGAGGCTGTAACCTTCAGAAGAACTTAAATTTTATCTGGTCTGCTCAGTAGTGACTCTGCTTGCTTGATTCATGACTAGATTCCCAACCGGCAAAGTTGCTAGATATGTGTGGTGCTGGATATGAGAATGAACTGAGCTGAACTTCATGGAGCCCCTCACGTGCCACACACAGATGACGGTACATGAGGTAGTCACCCCCTTGTCTGAGGATTCACTTTCTGCAGTTTCAGTTACCCGTGCTCAACTGTGGTCCGAAAATATCAAATGGAAAATTCCAGAAATAAACAATTTTTAAGTTTTAAATCACCTGCCATTCTGAGTAGCGTGATGAAATCTTGCTCCCTCCTGCCCGGGACATGGATCATCCCTTGTCCAGAGTATCCACACTGTATATGCTACCTGCCCATTAGTCACTTAGAAGCCATTTGGTTATCAGATCAACTATCAAGGTATCACAGTGCTTGTGTTGACATAACTCTTATTTTAGTTAATTATGGTCCCAAGGTATAAGAGTAGTGATGCTGGCAATTCAGACTTGCCAAAGAGAAGCTGTGAAGTGCTTCCTTTAAGTGAAAAGAACATAGTATATATAGGGTTTGGTGCTATCTGCGGTTTCAGGCATCCGCTGGGGGTCTTGGTGCATATCCCCGTGGATAAGAGGGGACTACTGTACATGTAAATGTATTCATAATTTTATCAGATCTTATCATAGTAATTCATACTGTCACCCAAGTAATATTGAACATGAGACATGTCTATACTAAAGGTGAAATTCACATAACATAAAAGTAACCATTTTAGTGGCATTTAGTACATTCATAATGTTGTGCAACCACCACCTCTATCTAGTTCCAAAATATTTTCATCACACCAAAAGGAAACTCCATACCTATTAAGCAGTTACTCCCTCATCTCCCTTCCCTCCAGCCCCTGGCACCCACCAATCTGCCCTCTGTGTCTATGATTCACCTATTCTGAATACTTCACATAAATGGAATCATACAATATGCGACCTTGGTATCTGGCTTCTTTCACTTAGCATGATGTTCTCAAGGTTCATCCACCTGGTGGCATGTATCAGCACAGTTCATTCCTTTTCATGGCTGAATAATAGTCCATTGTATGGATATACCACATTTTATTTATCCATTCATCTGATGGACACTTGGGTTGTTTCCACTAAATGTTATTTTGCATTAATTATTTCTCAGGAGATATGTTATACAAAGCATACATATTTAGAAATCTTTCAGAATCTTCATTTCTTTTAAAAAAGAAACCATGTTCCCTTTCCTCCAAAACACATACTAAGTGAAATATAGGAATTGTGAAAGCTTAAAGCCCAGAAGTTTACTAATACACATTTTATTGAGTATTTTAGGTATCAACAAGGATAAGAGAAACTCTTCAGCAAACTTTTTCAACATGCCATCCATAGCGGTCTTATTAAAAATGTTATAGATAAGGCACACAAAAGACCAGTAACCAATAAATCATAATACATTTTACCTATAAGTGAGACTTGGGACCTGCAGTAGAAAATGCTATGAATATAATTACCAGAGAATCATTACATTTACCTGCAATGGGTGGGCCCACAGTCATGGGTATAGACATGAATCCGAGCAGAAATCCAATTGCTTGAGAGACATCCCAGGTGTCAACTAACTCAAAGGCAGTGGGGGCCATAATGGAAATGAAGCATCCATCGAAGAGACCCATGATGAGACATACAGCAATGAGGGCCCCAAAGTCATTACACAGGGGAATCATCATGGACATGAGACCAATGAAGATAAAGGAAAGCACCTAGGACAGACAGCACAATGTCAACTCTGCTCTCAGGAAAAGAGAATGTTACTATTACTGAGCAACATGCTTAGGACTTTTAAGTGGTTATTGTTAGTCACCTCCCCAGCCCAGTTCACCTTGATTTTATATATATAATAACTTCCCATAATCATCACCCCGAGTTCTCCTAGCACTTTCTCAATATTTCCAGTAAAGGACAAGAAGAAAGTAACTATTTTTATATACTTACTTTCCCTTCCAGCCTGTAAGCTCTTTGAGGTCAGAATCTGTACAGAAGTCATCTTTGAACTAGATATTATAAGGTTTAAGGATCTTATATCTGGTCAGTGCTCAATAAATATTGCCCTTTGAATATCAGTTCAAATTCATTCATCAAAATTTGATTTTTAAGGGGCTGGTCCCGTGGCCGAGTGGTTAAGTTCGCGCGCTCCGCTGCAGGCGGCCCAGTGTTTCGTCGGTTCGAATCCTGGGCGCGGACATGGCACTGCTCGTCAGACCACGCTGAGGCAGCGTCCCACATGCCACAACTAGAGGAACCCACAACGAAGAATACACAACTATGTACTGGGGGGCTTTGGGGAGAAAAAGGAAAAAATAAAATCTTTAAAAAAAAAAATTTGATTTTTAAATTTTACCTTTGAAATTATATACACTTTATTGGTATTAGTCCTTTGCAAAATAAAAATATGCCAGCAAGTTCAGTTCTTCATATCACACAGTTTCCAGTTTGGGGAATACAGTGATGTAAGTTTTAGATATTTAAATAATCAATTTAAAACATACTGCCTGCTAATATTCCAGACATGATGAGCATATTCAGACCAAGTGAGAGAGATTAAAAGGAGTAACTATGATTTGATATGTATTCAGGGTGGCGAGATGGATTAAAGAACAAGACCCAACAGTAGGCTGCCTCCAGGACACAGCTCCAAAGACAAACACAGGCTCAGAGTGAAGGGGTGGAAGATGATACTCCAAGCTAATGGCAAACAAAAGAAAGCAGGTGTTGCAATACTTACAGCAGACAAAGTAGACTTCAAGACAAGACAGGTAAAGAGAAACAAAGAGGAGCAGTATGTAATGATGAAAGAGACACTCCACCAAGAAGACCTAACCCTTATAAATATCTATACACTCAACACAGGAGCACCAAAGTACAAAAAGCAACTACTAACCTAAAAGGAGATATTAATAATGATTTGATATGTATGATATAAATATGTACTGAATTTTGATTATTCAGATTCCAATTAAGTTTGACTCTGTCATAGAAAATATATGATGCATAATATGCAATGAAAACAGTAAACATGTAAACATATTCTTCTATAACATGCTAAGAACTAATTTATGTAGTCCATTTTTATTACTTTGATAGTATAAATCAATATTATTATTATCAAAAAATATTCTCAAACATTATGTCTTCTGGTGGTGTATCACAGATACATCCTATTTAAACACCCCAGAGTTAAGGTTGAGAAATATTCTGTGTCATCGAATACTTTCATTTTAGTGTTAGAGCAGTTAACAGAATCAAACACCCGATGTTGCCTGCCATTTGGCAGCTACTGTGCTACATGCTATGTACTATGCCATGTGAATAAGACCTGGCTCCTAACTTTGGGTTGTGGGAAAATGAACATGTAGAGAAACAAGCACACAGGAAGGATTCTAGATGTTGCCAGAGCTGTATATTCCAAGTATGACGGGTAGGAAAAAAGAAGGAGCAGACAATTCAATAACTTTTTAAGGCAAAGAATTAATTAAAACGAGACAGTTCACTAGTCAGCAGAAGAAATGTTTTAGAAAACAGGTTTTTTAAAGTATGCATAAAATAGCAACTATCGTTTATATAGTGTTTATTAAATGCCAACCATTTGTCTAAGCACCTTAGATGGTGATCCTAACAACAACTTTATGAAGTGGGTACTAATGTTATTCCCATTATAAAGATGAAGATAGTGATGCTGGGAGAGGTTTAGTAACGTGCCCAAAGCACAGATGGAGCCAACCTGGAACCCATGGTCTGCATGGGCAGCAACAGGAAGCAGACGGAACTGTTCCTAGAGGGTCCCCTCCAACGACAGTGGGGCTGGAGAGGAAGAGAGAGACCATACAAAGCAGCCATCGGGATCACCATCTTCATCTGTTCTGTTTTTCCGAGGACCCACTAGGCACACCCATGGCATACCAAGCTTGGCAGCACACCTCAGGGCAGCCCCCCACAACCTTAGTGTGCATCAGGATGCCCTGAGGAGCTCCTGAAGATGCAGGGTGTGAGCGCCGGGATCCAGGAATGGTGGTTTTCACAAGCTCCCCAGGTGACTTTACCACAAGGGGTCCACTGACCCCACAATAAGAAAGATGCTCTTGAAAAGGGTTTCAAACTCCAGGTTAGGTCTCTTTGTGACACCATTATACCATATAGCTGAGGAAGTTTTTCTTCTTCATTACTAAAATATGGCTTTATAGTAGAATTATAATTTCTTTAAGACTCTGAGTTGACTATTTGAAAAGTAAGTCTGGCACTTCTGGCACTTCACATTTTCTAAAGAACACAACCTCCCCATTCTGCTGATTTTTTATTTTCTGCTGAAACACCATTTCCTTCAACACAACTTCCAGGAGGCACAAGCATAATTTCTTAGCAGTGGGTGATGATTGGGTTTGCAGCCTGGGGGATTGGAAAGAACTAAGGCTCAGAGGGACGAGACCAGGTCCTGGCTCTCTGTGACCTCGAGCAAGTAAAAAGACTTCCTGATGCTTCCCATCTAAACAAAAAGAGGTCTAAAGAGAAATCAAAATGGAGAAAGTGGTGTGAAATTAACAAGTAGGTAAAGATTTAAGGAGTTATTTTTACTGAAAAACTAACCAGACAAACCCTAATATTCTTAATAATAGTTACATTTTAAAACTCTACCTACAAACATAAAAGGAGATAAACATGGAAAGTCATTTGAATGTTTGAAACAATCTGTCATCACACACTCCAGAGAATCCAGCCTAAAACTTTAGGGCCCTATGGGGCCAGATTCAATGGGTTTAATTGGTAAAGCCACAGACCAAACATCCCCAGCACAACACTGTAGCTCTGTGAGGCCAGCTTTCAGGAAGATACCTGCTTCTCTGAACGTGCTTCCTATTCTTTTACTATTTTGTTCGGTGCACATCTCTTCCAAGATAAGAGAACCAGAGTGAACTGTTGGAAGCCCAGCACACTCCTTGGCACAAAGTCAATTTTGCTCAACAAATGAATGGTTTCTTGGACCAGTTTATATAACATGAGACCCAGGCACTTTACTTTTGGTAGTTACCCTGATTTTTCTATCCATTTTTGGCCCCTTCAAAATTTTGTTCTTTGGTCAGTTTTGTAAAAAGAAAATCATTCACTTAAGAGTTTCAAATTTATTACTATATTTTGAGCATATTACTTCTTTTTTTTTTTTTTTTAAAGATTTTATTTTTTCCTTTCCTCCCAAAGCCCCCCGGTACATAGTTGTATATTCTTCATTGTGGGTCCTTCTAGTTGTGGCATGTGGGACGCTGCCTCAGCGTGGTTTGATGAGCAGTGCCATGTCCGCACCCAGGATTCGAACCAACGAAACACTGGGCCGCCTGCAGCGGAGCACGCGAACTTAACCACTTGGCCACGGGGCCAGCCCTGAGCATATTACTTCTTGATACTTTACCTGACTGCAAGTTCTCCTTTTCTCAATTCAAAATATGTTAATTTATATTCTTTTTCAATTATTTGACAATAATTGTTACTTAAAATTGTTAAACTTAATGGCAATTATTAAATAAAAATTATTAGTTATTTAAAAGTAAAATTTCTTGGTTTTCTTTAAGGATTGAGTTCACAGGAGCCAGCCCGGTGGCACAGCAGTTAAGTGTGCATGTTCCGCTTTGGCGGCCCGGGGTTCGCTGGTTCAGATCCCAGGTGTGGACATGGCACCACTTGGCAAGCCATGCTGTGGTAGGGGTCCCACATATAAAGTAGAGGAAGATGGGCATGGATGTTAGCTCAGGGCCAGTCTTCCTCAGCGAAACGAGGAGGATTGGCAGCAGATGTTAGCTCAGGGCTAATCTTTCTCAAAAAAAAAAAAAAAAGAATTGAGTTCACAGAAATATACACATTTATTCTTTAGCATTTCTCAGAAAATAACTAGCTTCTTCTACCTTATTTGTAGCAATGCTAGTGAGAAACGGTGCTCTTTCTCAGCCGCTGTTACTCCCCAAAATGTAGCTAAATTAGGAGGTAAGTAGGCCAAGCTGGTGAGGACTTACCTATTTCTCACATGCAGGGACACTTGAGCCACAAGGAGCCACAAGGTTTAGCAAACTGTTCACAGAGGAGGCTCAGTACTTCCTCATCACTTCCCAAAATAAATATTGATCCACATATCAAATACTGATCTATAGGGGCCGGCCTGGTGGCGCAGCAGTTAAGTGCGCACATTCCGTTTCAGAGGCCCAGGGTTGGCCGGTTCAGATCCCAGGTGCGGACATGGCACCGCTTGGCAAGCCATGCTGTGGTAGGCGTCCCACTTACAAAGTAGAGGAAGATGGGCATGGATGTTAGCTCAGGGCCAGTCTTCCTCAGCAAATAGAGCAGGATTGGCAGCAGTTAGCTCAGGGCTAATCTTCCTCAAAAAAAAAATTTTTTTTAATTAAATAATAAAATAAATTAAAAAAAATAGTGATCTGTAGATATTGGACCCCAGTTTGAAAGGTGAGTAAATTTATTATTATATACAATATTTTTTTTCCTCCTCAAACACAGCAGTTCTGGTTGGATTTAAATAAGGGGTTCAAGGGTCCCTAATTCTCTTCTAGGCTCTAGCACTGACATTTAATAAGGCATTGACAGTTGAGGTGTCTTTCTTGCTTTTGTTTCCTTAAAACCATCGGAGGAAATATCTTCTGTCATAACATTATAGGCTGTAGAAGAATAACCCCCTGCTTGAGCTAGTTTACATACCTAAGAACAAAAA